AAAGTCGTCAATCTGAGTGGCTTCACCTCGCCCCGAGTCTGGGTCGAGAAGCCGACGCTCTTCTTCAAGTTTGCAGGTACCAAGGCTGCCGTCCAGGAGCACATCAAGCTGGTGGAGAAGATTACAGAAGCCAACAAGGGTGGCGACTTTGAGTTTGCAAAGGACAAACAGGAGCAAGAGCTGCTCTGGTCCGCTAGAAAAGAGTCTCTGTGGTCGATGTTGGCGCTGAGAAAAGAAGGCGAGGATGTTTGTGAGTATTCTTGAGCTGGATATTCCTCATCACTATTATGGCTGCTCACATTGTTTCTTTAGGGAGTACTGATGTAGCTGTGCCCTTTAGCCGGCTGGCAGACATCATCGAGATCAGCAAGAAGGAGATGGACGAGCTAGGTCTGTTTGCCAGTATCCTTGGCCACATTGGTGATGGCAACTTCCACGAGAGCATCATGTACAATAAAGAAAACGAAAGCGAGAGAGCCAAGGTTGAGGCCTGTGTCAAAAACATGGTCCGCCTTGCCATTGAGATGGAGGGCACCTGCACGGGAGAGCATGGGGTTGGATGGGGGAAGAAGGAGAGTTTGCTGTGGGAGGTTGGCTCAGAGACTGTTGGAGTCATGGCGACTATCAAGAAGTCGCTTGATCCCCGATGGATTCTGAATCCAGGAAAGATCATGGACGTGCCGTGGGAGCGACAGGACAGCCACCACGATGGCTAGCTGAGAATATGGGCTGATGTACTAGATGTAGATACCAGGTAGATATGGATAGCAGACATCAAAGGATCAATACAGTAGACATTGAACGTGGGGGTATATTTAGTCGGTGTGGATTGACATGGCAAATGTGAATTGATATAGTAGTAGATATGAGTAAACTCAGGTAGTAGATCTACTAGAAGTCGTTATAATGACCATCTCAGATATAGACAAATCTAGTAGTGAAAGTACATCTACATCTAGTAGCTAGGTAGAGGTAGATCTAGTAGAGATGAATAAATCTAGTAGAGGTAGATAGATCTAGTAGATGGATATAGATCCAGTAGCCAGAGATAGACCTAGCGTCTTATTCACCGGCCAAAATAAAGAGGTATCCAGACGGCTACATCAAGTGAATTGCCAATCTGCTTCAATAAACAAGCTCTTGCACTTATGCAGCCTGCCATAGAGCACCTGACATGTTTTCCCCTGTGCCAACCGCTCCTGCCTCCTAATTCGCCCCTATCCGCCTTCGCAGCTGCAAGAAGCCTTCCCACCTGCCTGCAACTGCCAACTCTGTAAATCCCCTCCCTAATATAAGGTGACTCTCTCTTCTTCCCTTCTTCCCTTTTCTCCCTCTTTCACCCCAAATCAACATACAACGAGGTGAGCTCTCTTCCTTGGCCCTCTGCCCTCTGCCCTCTGCCCTCTGCCCTCTGCCCTCTGCCCTCTGCCCTCTGCCCTCTGCCTCTGCCTCTTCCCCTCCCCCTTAACACCGCTTTGGAAGAGCATTTTTTGCCCAAAGCGGTGTGGTAGAAACTATATATATCCCTCCTTCATCGCGGCCCTCGCTGACTTCGAACCCTTCAAGCAACAAGATGGCGGGCCCAAGGAAGTGGCTCGCAAGTCGGGCCCATCCCGACGCTGGGTACCCGACCAGAATAAAGACCAACATCTGGTCGTTGGATTTCGGCACACTGACTGGCCCGGAGACCATGAACATCAACAAGACAATCACTTCTCCCTGTGGCACCAACGCCATCAACGCCGAAGTCGACTTGTTGTCGAAGCACCTCACCTTTTTTTTCCCGCTCCGCATCAAAGTAACGGAGACGGATTCCATGACTCGAGAGTTCAAACTCTCGGCAGATTTGAGTCTAATAAAGACTGTTTTCCATGTTTCAAAAGAAAATGACCGAGAATCACTTGTTGTTCGGTTCCCTCTCCCTCCCCAGTATTTCTGGAAGACTCATACCTTACCACCAAATTCTCTTTTCAATCGCAAACCCCCAGATGTCTGGAGAAGAGCGACAGACATTACTGAGGACGCTACAGTCCCCATGAATTACCCAGTATCCTTGAACAACACCAAATCAGACCCAGCGTACTTGGAAGTTGGTCGTTGGACTGCCTTTCGCATAACTTTTGATACCACAGACGCGGCCACGAGGTGGGCTCTCGGACACATGAAACTGGCCTTGGAAGACCTCAACATCAGAATCCAGGTCTGTGAGAATTTCCAAGTTGACACTTCCACCACTACCATGTGGGATTTTCTCGATCACCCGCAGGACAATAATCAAGGAGATGCACTGGCTCTTCTGCAGCCGTCAAAATTTCCATTTGTCCACCTAGACTTTGGCGTCCGGTATCAGCTCGAAGTATGCGTCGGCCGCAGGGTGCTCAATGAGCACACCATCTCATTGGAATTCCTCCAGAAACTTGCTGAACTGGATCCTCTCGACGCCAAGCGCAGACTTGAGTTCCTCCTTGACCAGGGCGAAGTCATGTATGATCCCAAGGAACTCTTCACATGGTCAGCCGCTGCGTCATACGTACCCAATACAAGAATCCCACACTACTGTGTGTTGGCACGCAAAGCTGCCATCACACCAACCACCATCTTGTTGAGCTCTCCCATCGTCGAGACTTCAAACAGAGTTCTTCGCTACTTTAATCACATTCAGGACCGCTTCTTAAGAGTACAGTTTGTTGAAGAGACAGAACTTGGCCGCATAGCCATGAGCTCTCGCAATAAAGAAGACGTATGGAAGAAGATATTCAGGACCTTGTACCAAGGCATTCAAATCGGTGATCGCCGCTACGAATTTCTGGCATTCGGCAGTTCACAACTCAGACAGTGCGGGGCGTACTTTTTCTGTCCGACAGATCATATCTCATGTGATGATATCCGCCGGTGGATGGGAGAAGTCGGCCACATCAGAATCGTGGCCAAGCATGCTGCAAGGCTAGGCCAATGCTTTTCTACTACACGAGAGATGAGAGGCCTTCCTGTCCCAGACGTCCGGCGTATTCCTGATATTGAAAGGAATGGTTATTGTTTCACTGACGGTGTCGGTATGATATCCGAATTCATGGCCCGGATGATCATCGAAGAAATGACCTTGGATGTCTTCACCGAACCATCGGCGTTTCAATTTCGCATGGGTGGGTGCAAAGGCGTATTGGTAGTCTGGCCCCAGGCCAAGAAAGGAGAAGTGTACATTCGTGAATCCCAAGAGAAGTTCAAGGCCGACGTCAAGGGCCTAGAGATTATTAAATGCGCCAAGTATTCTTCCGCTACTCTCAATCGACAGACCATCACCATTTTGGAGTGTCTTGGCGTAACCACACAGGCCTTCTTGGACGTCCTGGAGAAACAGATTGGCCTCTACGAGGAAGCAATCAAGGATAACAACGTAGCAGTGGATATTCTGACAAAATGTGTTGACGAGAACCAATCTACTCTAGTCTTAGCAGAGCTTCTGCAAGCCGGCTTCAAGACGGACACGGTCCAAGAACCGTTTGTAACAAACTTACTAACTCTCTGGAGGTCATGGTCTTTGAAGCTGCTCAAGGAAAAAGCCAGAATTCCTATCGAAAAAAGCGCCTTTGTCTTGGGCTGTGTTGATGAGACAGGTACTTTGAGAGGCCACTCAAACTCGACCGAAGGCACCTCAGATAAAGACGTCAACAAACTCCCCCAAATCTTCTTGCAGGTGTCAGATTCAAAAGTCTACGACAAGACCACTGTAATTAAAGGAGTTTGCATCGTTGGGCGAAATCCATCGCTGCACCCAGGCGATATCCGAATAGTTGAGGCAGTCGACATACCGGAGCTTCGCCATCTCAGAGACATTGTTGTTTTCCCTTCAACTGGAGATCGACCAGTCCCCAACATGCTCTCTGGAGGAGATCTTGATGGGGACGACTTTTTCATCATTTGGGAGCCCACTCTAATTCCTGACGAATGGAATCACCCAGCCATGAACTATTCCAGCCCCTCGCCTGAGAAACTTGAACGCGACGTGAATGCCGACGATCTACGAGACTTCTTTGTCAAATACATGCAGAACGACGTGCTCCCGCTCATTGCAACGGCTCATTTGGGACTCGCAGATTCCGAGGGGCCCAAGTCGGAGATTTGTAAGTAGAGACGGAACCGATTTCAATCTCTCAGCTGTTCACGATATGGACTGACGAGTCTAACATTAGGTCTACGTTTGGCGGAGCTTCATTCACAGGCTGTCGACTATCCAAAGACCGGTGAGCCCGCGGAATGGAATCCAGCTCAGCATAATCCACAGGAGTGGCCACATTTCATGGAGAAAAGGGTCTGCTACAAATCGGAAAAGGCCCTGGGACAGATCTATAACAGGGTAATCAAGCAGTCCATTCAGTTTCGGCCGGACTGGGAAAACACCTTTGATCAGCGAATCATAAACAGATTCCAGCTAGACAACGCTATGCTCAAGGACGCCAGGAAGATCAAGGTCCAGTATGATATTTCAGTGCGACGCATCTTGCTGCAGTACAACTTGGCGACCGAATTCGAGTTATACACCTCTTGGGCTATGTCGAAGCCCTCGATCGGTAGCGATTATAAGCGACAGGAAGAGCTCGGAAAGGAGTTTGACGCAGTAAAGCAGAGATTCCGCGACGCGTGCTATGAAGCAGCCGGCGGCCACAACGAGGCCAAGATTGACAGATTTGTGGCAGCCATGTACAAGGTTACGGAGGAGGAGATAAAAATTGCGCTGTTTGAGCATCACCGTGGACCAACAAATGAGGGCGGTGTAGTCGTTCCAGCCCGGAGGCTCGAGCCCAAGTCGATGCCGTTCATCAGCTTCCCTTGGATTTTCCCCTGGGTTATGATTCGTATTGCATCTGATGGAAAATGCAATCCCAAAAAATCCATTCTCGCCGCGGCTCATCAGCGGGTGCCTGTCTCCTTGCCTCCTATTACCCCGTTGGCTCAAGAGAACCGCTCTGAGGCCAATAACGGTAGCATTGGCCAAGTGCCCCAGAATGGTGCTATGAGCGATATTAAAGAGTATACTCTGGCTCAATTTGAAGAAAATACGGCGGCAGCATCGGCCTCCTTGACTGACTTTGGGGGGTTTGGCCAATTTTAGGGTCGTTGATACGTAGTTACTTTGTTCTTCTCTATTCTCGCTATCGGGATATTCAGTCCTTCTTCTGCCCTGTTGAGGCTTATTTCGGAGTAGGTAGAAGACAGGCATCGTAGTGGATGCATCTCAGGACGTCAATATCGGACGGGATTGCTTTATCGGTCTGTTATTCGTACGCATGCTAATCAATATCAATGCTAGCAATCCCGTGCCCAATGCTCAATTTGGTGAATTAGTATTTTTCCGTGCCCAGACGTATCATTTCAGCCCCGACGCACACATAAATCGGTTCTCAAAACCCATTTTTCTCCATCTTGAACTTCCCGTCCCTCGTGCTACCGTATTTTACTTGATTAGCATCGGGAAATGTTATAGACGAAGAAGAGTGAGCGAAAAGAAGAGGATTGCTCTTGGTGAACTTACTAGCAGACAATCATCACCGTGCTTGTGCAATAGCAGCATGCCCGTCTCAAGCGATACTGCGATTTCTTCAGCAGCAGACTTGCGATCGTGGGGATAAAAGACCGTCTCGCCACCAATACAACCCTCGGCAGAGGAAGTGAGGTACAGGAGGAGCGTCCAAGTAGTTTTGACGGGGACAGAATCAAGAACTAGGTAGTTGGAGTCGTCGTCTAACAAGGCGACAGGTCAGTTGACTTGATTCTTGGTGAAGTCGAGATTTTGCAAACACGGGCAACACATACAATGGCAGTCAAAGTACTGGCCCTTGGAGTAGCGGTAGATGCGAATGTTTGGGTTGAGGCCTACGGGCTCGCCGCCCCTGCAGAGATTGAAGAGAGCGAGTCAGCAATGCACAATCATGTATTTGGTGGATCAATGAACGTGCCATAGGTCCTTGATGGTTTCATTCTCCAAGATAACTTCTTTTAGTCCAGTGGTCTCCCATAATCGGAGTGCGAATGCCGGATCGTCGATCTGGAACCTATCATTGACGCGGACTGCTTCTCCCTTCTTGGGCCGTGAAGGAGTGGTCTGTAGTGGTAGCGTTTTTAAAAATGCGACGTAATCGCGGCAGAGGGAGCGAGGGAAAAAGGACGAGAGAAGAATGAGGTTGGACGTCGCGGGATGAAGCTCTGGATACAGCTCGACCACAGGCAAGGGTGGTTTAAAGACCGGCCATGATGGTGGGGGTGGAGGGGCGGCTTGAGCTGGTGCGGATGATTTGGATGATTTTGATTTGGCCATTTGAATTAGAGTGAGCTTTTAATGAAGGGTTTTGAAGCAGAATGTGCTGTAGTTGTATCTGGCTGCTTAGTGATGAAGCCTGGTATACCTATGCTAAGCACGTGTATGGTTGGGCTCGTGATAATCTGAAACAGCCGATCAGCGCAAAGTTACGATGCTCAAAAGTCTTGGTCTTAAAATATATACTCAAAATCAGATGTGTGGCTAACGAGAAAACTTGCAGATATAACAATAGCTGGTATTTGGTTAAGCACTGAGGATGCTGTCAAGTCGAGCACTCGTTTTGGGCAAGTTCCGCTGAGCTGTTAGTGTGCAGCTATCCGAATCGGTCGGGTGACGCCTACAGTGATATAGGCGACGGATATGCACTAAGATGCGAAAATTGCTTTTATCAAAACTAACATCAACCACCATCATTTCATGGACGTACGACAAACTGCCAGCAACAGGAGAAAAATATCATAGGCAGGACAGAATTGGGTCTCCCGGAAGAAATAACAAAGGAATTTCAGTTATGCTCTACGGGGCCAGAACACCCACCATGCCTCAGGGACCGCCACAAGTCGCTCAAGCCGTGCCCCAAGAAGCATCACAACCTCAGTTAGTTCGTCGCCAGCCAGATATCAATGCATACTCGGCTTCATGGAATCGCCCCCTCAAGCAATTCAGTCTCTTCTTCCTCGGTGCCGCCTTTACCGCGGCTTCAATAGGCGTGTCTCGCCGCTCAGTGGTCCGTCGCCAGCGCGATTCTTTCCCCAAATTCTACTCGTCCAACACCGTGGGTCCCCAAGAGGGCGCCAATTCTGAGGGCGCTGTGCTGGGCGCCCACGCTTTAGGGCTGGCAACGCTCAACGTATCCAGTTTTGCGGTGATGCTTATAGGGGGTCTGTCATGGGCGTTTGATTTGAGCTCTGTGGAAGAGTTGCGAACCAAGACGAGAGCTGCGCTGCAGAGACCAGGTGGGGAGGTTAGTCCGGAGGATGAGAAGGAGTTTGAGCAGATGATGGACAACTTGATGGCCAAGTTGGGAATGGACAAGGCCTCAGTACAGGGTGCAGGCGAAGGAGACAATAAAGGCGAAGACGAGAAGTGAAGATCCGGTCTCTCTTCAACATTCAACCTCTATTTTCCTTCTGCCATGACATTATCGAAGCAGGGTACTGCGCCTCCTTTGTTTCAACGGGGAAAACTTTTTGTTTTTGCTTGATGGCAGCATTTGATACTTGGAAGAGACACGGCACGGCTTGCCGGATTGGCGATTTGAAACTCTGGATATCGACGATGCGGCATTTGATATCCACATGTATAATTACAACCTCACACGACTTTATTTTTGACGATGATATGGGCTGCACTGTAGAGTGCTTTGCATTACTTGTACAATATCGGGGCATTTATGGGGAAATTATATCATCAATGCCATCTTGTTGGCTACTTATCTTGAATTGTTACCAGAACTGAATAGCAATCGCAATTTTTCGTTTTTCTGTGTTAGGCAATGATGGGATGCGAATACGATACGAATACGACATCATTTCCCTTTATGGCAGGAACGAGCAATGGGAATTAAAGCGATGATGAACTTCCAGTTTGTATCTCCGACTGCGACTCCGCACGATCCTATCAACTTCTATCCAATGCACTCCCTGGGTATGAAATTACAACAATTTTATGCAGGCTGTAAGTTAAACCCGATTTTCCCTCTCAGACACCAAGATGCATATTATGCGCGGCATTTGGCCGTAACAATTCTCCCCGAAGAAAAGGGGAGAAAAAAAAGAGAAGAAAGGAAAAGAGAACAGGGAGAGCAAGAACCCCCCTGCCCAAGAAATATGAATAGCCCAAAAAGACTCTATGCCATGAACGCCGGAAAATGTGATAAGCCAATGTCAAAGTTGTGATTCCATCCTCTTCCTCATCGTCTTGTTTGGTTCCCCAATCACTGCTTGATCATGATTTCGTTTCTGACTCTGTCTTCTTTAGGCTCTTTCGCCATTCTTGAAGGTCTTCGATACCCTCGAGACTTGCTCTGCGGCCCCAGTTGGCCGGCTGCCTCTTGAGGAACGCACCGACAGCACCGAGGTAGCCTTCGTGCCGCAAAAAGTAGGCCTGCTTCTCGCCCTTGCTCCAGAACTTGATGGCGTAGCTGAGCGTGTTCATTGTCTGGCGGTGGCCTCTGATAAAGGAGCCGCCAAAGTAAATGTCGTTGAGGTTGTGGATCTGTGACTGCAAGTAGGCGATTTGACCAATGTTATTGGAGACGGCATACAGCAGGGATCTTGATATGTCGGCAGAGGAGAAGGAATGGCTGGGATGCGAATCGTCATGAGCATCACCATGCACATCACTGTTGCTGTCATGATGCTCCGACTTGCCCGCAGCTTCTGCAGCTTCTGCAGCCTCGGCTTGCAGCTTCATGCGGAACACTTTTCCAAACGAGGACGCAATGGCGGTGCTCTTAAGGCCAATCTTGCCATAGTCGGCGCCATATATATCTCCAATCATCATGTCCACTTTGGTGTTGTCGCCGTGTTCGGCCTCGGCTAGCATGTCATCAAACGATCGTGCCCCGGTCAAAAGAGAGAGAAGACCCCAGAGGGTACCGCCGCCGAGGGATGTGCCGCCGACTCGCTGAAACGACCGAGGGCCCGTAACCTTGAGCATGGAAACGCCAGAGCCAATGTTTACAAGAAGATATGGATATATGATCTCTCGGGGACTGACGAAATGCATGGGGTCTGCTTCGGAGTAGGTAAAAACCTCGCGGGGAATTTCCTGGATGAAGAAGTCGAGCCCTGATTGTCAAAGATTAGTTCCCAGTTACCTCTACTTGAATTCTTCGGAGCTGTTTCGGCTTACCAACTATCAAGCACTCCATCTCGTCTTCTCGCAATACCTCGACTTCCAATGCGTCTCGGATGATGTCGTAAAACTTGTATGCGCCGCCACCAGTGGCCATGACGCATAGCTCCTGCGACCGCGACCCATTGAGAGCTTTGTGCTTGTCGCGCAGCAGCTTCATGAACTCGATGCAGTCATCAATGCGATCCGTCTCGAAGTATTGGAAGTTGAGGCGACCGCCAGGGTCTGTGGAATCGACCTCGCGAGAAAAGTAGACGAGCTTGACAAGAGAGCCGCCAATCTGGTATGACATTGGTCAGTCAAACAAGGCAAACATTAAGCGCAATGGCAAGGCAAAAAAAAAGGAGAAGAAAGTATGACAATTGGTCCATGGGAGAGATGCAGGGAGAAGTAAACGGTGCATCTTACATCTACTGCGATATGGCTGACCACAGCCGTGTGGTTTGGCAGCCGGATGTCGCTTGTCTCGTGATGCGACGGACTGACTCTTCCATTGTCGCTGCCGTTCTGCGCGGGTGTTGCAGCGTCAGGGTCGACAATGAAGGCGCCGGTGACATTGATCTTGACGCTTCCGGGGTGTGTGATTGTGTTGTCGATTTCTTCGGTCGATGTCATGGTCCGCGGCCGCTTGGCTATGCGCTTCTGCTCGTCGTCGTCGGCCTCGTGCTCATTATGCCGCTGTCGCTGCAGCTGGTGATTAAGACTGTGGTTTGGCGGGGCAGCCGAGGCGGGCTCCTCGGTCGCAACGAAGGGCGTCATTGTCGATTTTTTTGTGTCTGTTCCTTTCCGCTCTTGAGAGATGAAAGATTCAAGAGAAGAAAGAAAGATGAGCAGAGACGATAATGGTTGAGAGACGTTGCTTTAGGGAAATCCCGATGCTCAAAGTACTGAATCTACGCCGCACAAACTGGTACGCCGCAAGCAGTTGGTTTGGCCGGTACAAGCCTTGTCTCCGGATTACTTACGAGTACTGCTGATGCGGCCCCAACAAAACCCCAGGGAATACGGAGCACAGCGCCTGCTTGTGCCACCAGGTGTTACTTTACCTACTCCTTACGGCTACGATTGCTGCTACTTTAGTAATTATACCCGAGCGAGCGATACTGAGCTGGTATTCGTACTCGGGCTGTCGCATGTCAAAGGCGTGGAGAGACCCCTGTTTTTTTCACTGGACTTCCAGCACATTCTCAGCGCTAAGGCTCGCCAAAGATGGGATGGGATACCTGGGGTAGCTTATCGATACAGCGCTGTTTATCTGCGTCTACAAAAAACGGACAGGTACCTGCGCTTACTCGAGCTCGCAAGAGCCGTCCGACCCGCCGCTGACCGAGGCAGCTCGGTCCACCGGCCAAATGCTCGCCTTGGCTCTTTTCCTTTGCCCCAGCTTGGTCACATACCTGCTGTCAGTCATTTGATGAGCGGAATACGAGTACATAATGAAAAAACAAGACAGCAACTGACAGGCTGCCTGCATGTTCCCTTGAGCAAGCTTGGGGATGACGTCGTTATCTTGCTTGCTCCCTTGTACATGATTGGGTTGATGCATGCCAAGGATATGCAGCGCAACAATGCATGCAGCATGCCCGAGAAGAAAAAAAAGGATTCGGTATTACGCGCGATTCCATTGGCACGGCATCATTCAGTCTCATCGCACATACCACCAGTACGGACCGTTCAGCCTTTCCAACCCCCTTCTTAGCATTGAAAGCGTTGCGACGTGCTTATTCTGCTCCTCTGTCACAGTGATAGAGCCGTGAAGATGGACAATGAATGAACAAGGCGACCAATTGATGTGCTTATACATGTTGTTCGGAGATGCCCGCTGCATGTTGAAGGATCCGCTGATTTCCTTTACATGATGCCAGAGGATTCTACTAAGCCCACATCTCATGTTCATCATCTCAGCTGAGATGGAAATCAAAATAAAACACGCAAGGCTGCTGCAACCTCTTTATCGACATCGCCATCGACCTCATCGGACGGGCGGCTTGCTCCCCCGAATCTGCACAGCCATCTCCGATTGGAACCGGAAAAGCGGAGCTCCGATATGGAGCCCCTCGGACGATGTCTTTCGATTTCCCCTCACCGAGTTCTAGATTTGGGGAGTTGATCTGGGGACTGGCCTAGGTGTCTTGCTGAACCCCGCGTTCGGCTTTTGGTCGTCATGAAGCCGGGTGTGATTCTTTTTGAGGCTTTCTGGTCATGTGCCGAAGTCGAGCTTGCATCCACCATTGGCAGCCAGGCTTGCAGCTTGGAGCCGTGTCTGTGCACTCCTCCAAGTTTCGGCATCAGAAGCATGCTGGAGACCTTATCACTGCGCCATCATTGGCTGTATTGTGCCATTTCCCCATGTTAGTGACGAGAAGACGAGAGATACCACCTTCAAAGTACGGCCCACGAGGATTCTTTTTTTTTTTTTCAAACCCGCAGTTTCCTATTATGCGTCTGAATCAAGCATCTGTTTGGTACTCGACAACGTTAGAGTATTGAATATGAGTTCCAACTTCACAAATGATGGCCGGGAATGGACGTCATTCCTAGTGGTATGGTCACGGTGCCCGATTTGATATAAACACAAGGCAAACTTACGGTGAGATCTCTGATCTCTACGCTCAGCAATTTCCTTTCTGGGGAATTCTCCATACTTGACAGAGGAAGCAAACTCGTCCCACTGGCAATAGAAGATGACCCACAGGACAGTAGTTTGTCCCCAATCTCCTGGTGGCCTCGTCTCCAGCAGCCGGGCGTACAAAGAGTGCCCGGGATATAAACATTTGCCCAAGAATAAGCACGCGGACTCACCGGCACTTTCGTTCCGGAATCGGGGCGGACATGACTGCGGCCGACGGAGACAAGTGGATGTTTCAATCGGATCGCACACGGAAGAGCATTTACATATCCCAAGTCATTGCCGCTTCGCCATGCATCTCCAAGCCACCAAATAAATGAGATAGCACAAAATCCAATAGTGATCATCCTCCAAGTGATCACAAGCTCAGCTTCTCCGGCTAATCTATTATGTGTTCACATCTTCAACGACCTCCTCATGCATGTTCGCTACCAGGTCTGCATGGTGGCTTCCTGCGTCGCTAGCCAGCACGCTTCCTGCACGCTACCAACGAGGACGCTACACAACCTCACCAATCGGCTCCGTCCGCTTAGCAGCGCCGGCTCATCGAGGTGTAGGGCATCGAGTGAGCCCAACGTTGGCCATTCAAGCTAAGCAACCTCATGGCGCGGCACGACAGAGCAGTGCCCTGGGCTATAAGATGGGCACGAGGTTGAGACCAGCGTCTAGACCACGAGAAGCAAAGTAGAGGGGCCAGAATGTCATTTGGGCCTTGATTGCTATTCCGTTCACCACACGGCACGACGACGGCGTGTCTGCTACGACAAACCAATGCCACCGGTATGCTTTACGCGGAATTTGAGTTGGCGTATCAAGGCACTGCATTGGGTGGTCGAAGATGTCCGAGACACCCTTTCGCAAACAACAATGATAACAATGATGCCAGAGAGACGAAACCATTCGAGTCGAGGCATCATGGCGCAAAAAGCTTTTCATCTCGCCAAAATTTAGTTTACACGAGCCGTGTTCTTTTGACGGCCAACATCAAGGCTATAGTCGGTTTAACGGCATTCAAATGATGCTTTCCGCGATGGCCAGGAGAGCCAGGCTAGTTCAACCTTTTTTGCCTTCCTCACTCGGGCCATTGAGTTTATAAGTTGTTGGTACCAAGCACTCATACTCATATTCAAGCTTTCTGGCGTTGCAAGTACCCCTCACTCTGCCGAGCTGAGCTCCTTCCTCCTCACTGCCTTCCACCTACCTCGACCACTCTGTTTCGCTTCGATGGCCCTCCATACGATGATGCGCGCCTTCCTTCACCTTGCACAAGTACGAGTACGACATACGTGGCCTTTCAACCCCGCCGCGTAAACTTTTTCTCTTCTTCTTCTTCATCCTCATCCTCCAACTTCTCCCTCGATTGAATTCAATTCAAAGTTCCTCTCTTCATTTGTGTTGACGCTACCCAAAAAGCAATGCAGGCCCCTCTCTCCACTGCACTACTGTACTACAGCATACTAAAATCACTACCAACCCCACCAATTACTGGCCTAGACAAGTGCCGTCCCCTGTCGACCTGCTGCCTCGCTTTCCAAGTTTCTCACGATCAAGGATCTTCCATGGAGTCCAGCTCTTCCGTAGCTGAGAGTTGCCCACCTGCAGAGGAAGAGTAGCTTTCTGGCTATCTTATCGCTTCTAGAGGATTGGGCCAGATTGGCCTTCTAGCGCCACAATCAGCATGGTAGAGACCTGTGCAAGCACCGGACAATCGTTCCTTCATCCGGCTACTCAACACCAGACGCTATTACAAACAGACTAAAAGCCAATCGACAACAAGAAGGCTGCTTCATATATCTGCCTTTCTCCCCGTGAGCCACCTTGCCAACCTATCAACCAGGGCAGCCCGGGCGAGCCGCTGCCCCTCACCAGCGACAGATGCAGCTTCGTCCCCCTCTTTGAGTGGACATACAGGTAAGAAGACGCCTTGCATATCAAATACACCAAGCTAATACTAACTCGTCTTGGAGCGATAGGGCTGTGATGATGCGAATATGGCCTTGGCTGCACGGCAGTGTCGGTATATTAGCCATGGTCGCCGCCGCCAGTGCTGAACCATTTCCAGGAGGCGTCCTTTAAATCGGCCTCTATGGACTCCTTTCCCCTGTGGCACACCTCCGTTACGGTACCAGCTGAGTCCTCCATCAACCTTTTAGCCTCTCAACTGTTGCTATTTGCGGTGTCTACAATGGATCGCATAAGAGATATCATCTTCACACCGCCACCAGTCGACAAGAAACCAAAGACCAGGAGAACAACTCTCATGTCAAGATGCCTCTGCTCAACTATCTCTGCATTTTGGGCTCATGTCAGTCTTATTTGCATCTCTGAACAGCCTTGTCTTTTGCCCTCATAGCTCTCCTCTTTCCCAGCATGCTAAGATATGCACTACAGGCCCATCTTCTTGCTCAGACAGACAAGGCATGGATCTATGTTGCCAACATGCCACCATTTCGCGTTACCAAGATGTCGAGGAACACAAAGAGGATATTTAGAGAGTACAAAGTTCACTCCAATGTTGATGCAACATTCAAGGCAATGTCCAAACATTTGACCATGCATGGCTTCGACGTTGATCTTCCATTTGTGCCTGAGTGTTCAGGTTTCTATCCAAACATTTCATCCTCACCGTGCTCCGAGACGTTCAAGCATTTGCACGGGTTTCCTGCTGACGCAAGCGGATATTTCATGGAGTACATTCGCCCTTTGAATGAACACCATACCAAGTATCTCATCAAACGATACTTGACCCGTAGCGCCCAGGGCCAAGCTCTCAGTACCTGCCAGTCCAAACATTTTCTCGCAAAGGTCTATCTGGGAGATACAAAACCACTGTCTGATCCATGGAACACTGACATGCACGACCGGCCAGCTTATCTGGACCACCTGCTCGCGGAGCGCGTCGAAGTATCGTATCTTGCTGCCTCTATGGGTGCGACGCTCGCAATACTTCACTGGAGCTGTGGCGTCGATGCCCGAGGTGTTGAATTTGTCCTGGGGAGAGACACCCGAGGCCACGTGCAGTTCTGGTTGATTGATTTTGCCGATTGTGCGACTTTCCCCAAAACTCCCGAGGCAGTCGTCACGCAACTTGTAGATGCGGTGATGGAGAATGAGCCGTTCTGGCCACGCTTTATAAACATCCAAGCCCTGAGAAAGATCTGGGCATGTTTCAGAGACGCTTACCTAGAAATGAGCGATTTTATCATGACTGACGCAATGATTGATTACGACAATGATGCTGTGAGAGCATTGCCATACTTATTCATGATGGAGTTGGAAAAAATAAGAGGTTCAGGTCAACTTCTGGCATAGCATCTGGGTTCTGCCTTTTTTTCTTCTGTCTTTTCTACCTTTTCTGTATTTCTTTTCTTTTCTTTTTTTCCATCTTTTTTTTATCAATGTTTATTTTTAATTTTTTTTTTATTTTTTTTTTTTCCTTTTTCTTTTTCTTTCCTCTTTTACTATTTTTCCATTTGCTTTCTATCGTTTTTTCTAATTTTTTTTTTATTCTCATCTTTTTGTATTTTTTCATGTTTTTCTCTTGTAATTTTTTCATTCCCCTCACAAACCGGCTGAAAAGTATAACAAGGTATCACGGCAAAAAGACAATTATAATGACTCGATACGGCTTTTCGACAAACATGATTTCACGACAATGGCAACAATTGGCAGGTGGCGGTTTCGGAGTTCAATCGAATTCTCATTGAAAGGCGTTCAATTCTATTTACGGAGTTTGGTCCCTGTAACAGACAGGCAGACAAGACAGACAAACAGACAGACAGACAGATATGTCGCAATTCAAACTATTACAGTTTGTGTTTTTGCCACTGTCACTTGGGCCGCTTCTAAAAGAAGTGGCCTCCTGGGACAGCAAGAAAAACTGCCATGAAAATGAGACCAAAAACAAGGCCAGCTAGCAGTGCTTGGCAAAAGATGGTGTCCTGGATTTGCCTCAAAGCAGGCTCCTGGATCCATATCTCACGGTCAAAGATTTTACGAACAATGTTGCGTTCCTGATACTTGACCACCCATGGCTCATCCTCGTAGCTATTGTTAGAGCCGAATGATTCCATGTTTGACATGCCGAATTCCTCTCCGTCATCCTGGGTGAACAGCTCCCACGGGCGGACATGGCGGTGATGCAAGCCGTGCAAGACAACACACATGCCCTTGTAGGCGGCTACCAATGTGCTCATTCCCAATACCCAGGCAATGAGAGGAAGAACTCGGTAGCCGCGTCCGGCCCTGCTGAGAGTGAGGATGATGGCGACGGCAAATCCTATTAGGATGAGAGCGATACCAAGGAAGCGAGCGAACCAAACTCGAGGGAGATTGCCGTTGCATATGGACCACCGAATAAAATTGGGATGTGACTGGAGTCGAAGTGCTGAGTCAACACTTTTGAAGAGAATTCGAAAGGCAGATGGATGCGTTGTGTGAGAGAGCGCTTGGACTGTTGCTCTCTGTTCCCACGCAGCCAAGTTAAGCTGCCGTGGAGCACCGTCCATGAGGTAGCTTGTTATTATGCGATTGATCTCCTGATGAAACGGCTGAATGGTGACTGCAAGAACGGGAGCTGTGATCAGCGACAACTTTCACCTCATATGCGGACAGTTTGTCTCCTCGTGACTTACAGGGAAGCCTAGCACCAGCTGTCACGAAAGCTTCTGCAGCTTGTGTCCGCGCACTAACGTTGGAGGTAGACTGAGCGTTTGACATTCCGCCCGAAGTCATGACTTCCCATGATGTCGTCAGCGTGTCATGATCTTCCGAGACACCATTCGGAGATCGAGGGGGAGTGTTGAAGGGATTGGCCTTCTTGTCACAGGGCTGCTTCTCAAAATCGGTCCCCTTGAAGATGGCGGCCGTTGCTGCAGGCTCTCGCCTCATTTTATCGACCTGCTCTTTTCGAACTTTGGCAACAACTTCATCCTCCATGGCTTGAGTCCACTCGGGTGCCAGGGCAATATCACTACCCTTGGCCTCGGCGAAGCGTTTTTCGTAATTCTTGAACCAGAGATAGAACTGGAGGTTTTCGGCGGCGTGTTCAACATAGACGAGGTAATTCATGAAGTCGCGGATAGCCAAGGGCTTCAACAAACATTAGAGACACAAATCTGGAAAGAGGAATCGGGCAGCCTTACTGGACAAGTACCACCGTTGATGATTCTATCAAAGCTCAAGGCATCCGGAATACCAGACGAAGCGCCAGAAACCCCTGACTTAACAGATCCTTCAGCAGCTTCTTCCAACCCTTCTCGGCGCTGTTGATAGGTCTCAGAGTCGACCTTCTTGGGTCGCCGATACTGGAGGGAAAGCAGCCCCATGACGAATATCTTTTGATTTGCTCTGGGATCAACAGATGCCAAAAATGAACGCAAGGAGATGCAAAAACGTAGGAGAAAGGTCTGTCGAATTCTTAAAGGGTTCGATCAAGGGACTTGAAAGATACGCATGTGTGCGCATGCAAATTCGGACCAAAGAGGCAAACTATCGGGAACATATACTTATTGCTTCATGCCTGCATGTTGTTTTGCAGCTCGGAGGAGGCTTATGCAAGGAAGCAGTCCCTGGTCTTCAAACCCTGCCAGGACAGTGACAACGCAGAGTCGACTTCCTCTCCACCCGTCAAAATTAAATAATGAGACTTGCATTAGATATCCCGGAGACAGAAAGGGCAAAAAACAAAGGAGCAGTGGCTCAGCAAGACGGAAAGACGGGGACGTTGGCTTGCAGATTCGATTGAGCCGGCCACCACCCACATCCCAGGAGGCGTCTTGGTCAGAAAGCTCGGGCTGAGGCTAGCTATCCAGGCACTGAGATGGACGCCGATAGCATGCCTGAGTGGCTGATGGGTGGATAGAAAGGATTGGCTGAGAGGCACTGATGGCAAGGCTAAATGGTTGAGCGCTGAGATCGCCGGCACATCAACAGATCAATGTTTCCACTCAACCAAACTCGGCCGAAGGCTAGCGCCGCAATTCGATCAGCAAGGTCGAACCTTGATACCATCGTTTCCCCAGTCTGTTTCTGGGCGGGCTGCGGCACGTGTGATGCATCGCTCAGCGCTCTATCTTCCCGTCTTTTTAGGGCCGAGACTCGGTTGGCCATGACAAGCATCAATGCGCCACCCTACTAGTCTGCTCGCTTTCCAGACCAAATCGCGGGTGGTACTTTGCAAGACAGTAACACCAAAGGAGAAGCTCGAGTTCAGCTGCGCCACCGGGAGGGTTCTCAAGACTATTTCCTACCGAGTGGAGCAGAGAAAAAGGAAGAAGAAAAAAGGAAGAAGAATAATCAGCACCATCAGTTCCCATTACCCAACAATAACTGGAACGGAGGCAACTTTTCGAAGCTGCTACACAGGGCAAGAGAGTTGTCACTGATTACATTCTGCAACATGATGACTGGATCCAGATTTCCAAGTTTGCTTTTAATAAATTTTACTACTAGGGCCAACCGCAGCTCCAGTTAGCAGACATGCATATGTCTCAGTCTCACATTTCAGGGAGACTTTCTTTCATCGATCTTTTCTTTCTTGTTGCGTCCTGGCGTTCTGACTACGGCAAAGCTACGGTTCTCATCACATCGATGACAACATAGTTGTTAGCATTTGAGAATTTGTCGAGGATCTAGCGTCTCCAGCCGTCTTTTGCTTTTGCGAGCACACAGGTTGGCAAATCGGATACAGTGCCTTAGAACGCACTGTCTTCCTTTGGAACACTATTTCAACCATCATGGTGTTGGGGAAGAGCTTGATATGCCAATCAGAGGCCGAATTCCACCCTCCTATTACAAATGGGCCACTCACAACTGCAGCATCAGAACTCACTAGAGGTACTTGGGTGCTTGGAAGCAGCTTCCGGCTGCTTTCTAGTGTTAGCTCGATCACTGGTCAGAGTTAGAGTCGGCTAATCTTGGCTTCCTCGTGTCTTCGTAAGATGGGTCTTGAAACCACTCCGGCGTCGTCTGTACCACCTAACGGCCAAGTTTCTCCCTTGCATCCCGTGATGCGCTAAATAGAGACGCCAGCAGCAAGGAAATGCGATAGAGGCTGCTCTCCGTCGGACCGCCCGCCACCAGAAATACTACTTGAAATGACTAATGGCTGTCTTTGACCTGGCTCCCGAAAGAAGAAGGTAAAGGGGCCGAGACAATACGCGCGTTATTCTAAATCGACGCCATGGATGCAGCCGCATTGCCTACTCCACGACTTATACATGCTATGCCAAACGGGAGATCGACTGCATCTTGGCAAACCCGGCCCAATTGACATGGGTATCGCTTAGACGCGACTGTGCTGAACCTCCAGCCCTAACAGTACTCAGCTGAGACGAGGGGCAATTCAATTACAAGCAGCTTCACCCCCGAAATCCAGCCAATATTCGTGTCCGCCTCTTGGGTATTGTAGCAACGGGTTGGTTATACGCTTTACCATTTCATACAAATTCGAAGAAATAGTATGCTTGGTACAGATTCAGCTGAACACCACTATCGTCTTAGGATTGTTCATGGGGTTGCCTTTCCTTTTTCTGGCATCAGCTACAGCTGATTTCTGTATCTTCTCACATTTTTAGCATTCGACTTTCAGCTACCGCGGTGACCGATTGCATGGGTACAGAATATATCCCACAGCAAATGCCCTAAGAGTTTACTTCTCCCCATATTTCCGGTCGCTTCTAGTCGCAGCTGATCACATTCTAGCCCCGCAGAGAGCTTCGACATTGCGGCTTGTCTCGGTGGTCGTGTGAAGCCATGATGGAAAGCCGGACGCCTCGCTGTGGGCTTCATTCCTCCCCGAGACAAATTCAGGAGGTGTCTTGGATGGAGCCGCCGTGTGGCTCTGCGTCGCCATCACAGCCGCCAACCAATAACTTGACCTGCTGATAAGGCATTTCTAGAGATGGCACCGGCATTCTCTCCTGAAAGAGCACTAAGAGTACCGTAAAACTCTGAGTTTCCAATAGTGTATGCAAGGAGAGACTGGGCAGAGGCTCGAGCGTACCCTGCCAGTATAGCACGGTTGGCAGTGCTCACGGCATGTTCGAACCCATGATATCAAAAGTACATCGAGAAAAAGCCATTAGGATGCTCTGTTCCATGGATTACGACATGGCGTGCCGAGAATTGGTCATAATTCAGAAAGAGCCTCTTGTGTCATAACCGACAGACACAGAATGGCCTGCCGACTGAGACTTCTGGTTGAGAAGACGATGTCTTTCTTTTCTTTCCTGCAATGCCCCAATCACGACTGTGCACTTTGGCGCGTGCGATGAGGAAGTACTGCTGTCAAGCCATCAAAAAGTCTTCCAGCCGTCTCATCTGAATAAACGGTTGCCGAGTGGCGTACCGGCCAGGTACTCGTATACGACTAAAGGTCCCTGATCCAGCTCGACATCACTTTTACATTTCTCTTCCGAGTCTACGTCGGGTGAGAAAGATTAACAGCAACTAACAGGACGCATTGCTGAGTACCCTCTCTAGCTGAATATAGGGAGAAGACCTGCTTCGACGTATTCGAATAGCAAAGCCTAGCTTTTCGGTGAGCATAAACAGTGGTTGATGTGAAGATAATCCTCCAAGCACTGGAGCTAGCCATGTTTAATGGCCTCTGTGCAATCATGCATTGCTCTCGCATACCTCCAAAGTGAGAATGCATAGACCCGCGGCCCTGCATGCATATGCTCCCGCCATGAGGGTGAGTACTGCTATAGTCCACACGCAGCTAGGCTGGGGGCTGTCTGTTGCTTGTTCCACCCCTTTTCGATTGGCTAAAAGGCCATTGGTGACAACAATGGATCAAATCCAGGTATCGATTGAGCATCCACTGACAATGAGCCCTCGGCACTGAGATGACTGGATCATCCCTTATGAGATGGCAAATGGGTTGTCTCCTTGTTGCAGGTTGGTGCGCCTTCACTACACAAAAGTATAGCCAACAAGCGACTGGCCGGACCAAGTGAACTATCTTGAACGACCATCTCTGCGGTTCTTATTTTCATGCGCTTAGGGCTCTCATTAGAATGGAATTGGCAGCGGTGTTGCAAATGGTGCTTGCTCTGCGTAGGAAAGAAGCTCTGGGATGCGAGTCGGAAGTTATTCCTTTGGAGATCTGATTCCGTCCTATTTTTGCCAATCAGGAATTCGACCTCATGCTTTGTCTCAAAGGAGTATCAATATCCATTCGCTCGCACTAGATAAACCAGAGAGCACTTGGTCCGGTCCTTCTTCCTCTGGTTGAGTATCGGACTAAGCCAAACAAAAGGGTAGCGTCAAAACTATCAGCAAGTCGGACGAATTTAGCCATAGGCTGTCTCTTCACGTTCATTCGATACCTTTGGCCACGAGGAATGTCGTGAAGGGACGCAGACATTTGCGAAAATGAGATGGCAAGTCTCTGCCCCAGATGTCTGTTAACCAGAGTTTCGTAAGAGAGCCAACCGGCCAAAAGCAGAATTCTAGAAAGAATCACGAGACTTGAGCAGCAAGTGGCTTACTCAACGATAGCTCTTCTCATGGGGGCCGATAATATAGCCGCCGCCGGCAGATTGTTTTGCAGCTTGTTATCTTCACCGGAATCTTCTTGCACTGCTGAAAGGAGGAATTTCGTCATCGAGCACAACTAGGACTGTATGCCTTTTAAGACTATCGTATCTTTCATCATATAACAGAAGAAGGTTACGAAGAGTCGGAGATATAAACAAAAGACTCTGAGCTTAGCCATGTTGATATATTCCGCCGTATATTGTCAACTTGCACTGGATGACCAACTTCAAGATCATGACGGTATTCGGCAGCCTTTCAGTAATAGGTTGACCCTTTCCCGTCGGCGCACCTAGTTATATCAGTCAATTACCACCTTGCCGAACGAAGACCTGAATCCACTACTTGGCAGGAAAGAAACCTACAAATCCCTTGATAACAAGCATGCTAATACCCCGAGGCATTGGCAAGGATCAAATAATCGTCCAACCAAAATTTTATGCGGTCCACAAAGCACTAAAAGGGTCAAAGTCCAACCATGAAGACGGCGATAAAAACGAGACACAGTTGAAGGTCGGGTGTAGGTATCTTAACCACAGAGCCAAGCGAAAATATTATCTTTGCGGTGCCATGCTGCTGTTGTACTTGACTTGACATTCGTCTCTGCGGCTCCATCACACCATCACGTCACCATGCATTCTGCATGCTGAATGGTTAGACAAACAAAAAGTACATGGCACCATTAAATATCCGAGTGTTGGCCGGGAACAACACACCATATGAGACAGATGGGGTTTATCAAGAGTTGACAACACCACGAAGGATCAACAACCCGGTCGGCAGAGTGGATAATTGGCAGTTGAATACCGATTTTCATATTGTTTGAAACCGAGTAGTAAAGCCTTGTGCGGCATTCAATGCTTGGAGTACTCGTGGTCTATTCTCTTGAGGCCGATCCCGCGTGGATATCTCTCTATACACGGCAGCTGACTTCCAATGGAGGTTTTGAACGGAAGTTGAACCAGGACCTATTTAGGAAAGCCAGGGTCCGGGGGGTCATTTGGGAGCATCGAAGCCAACAACCAACAATTGACGGAATGGAACACAGCAGCCCATATGAGCTGATAATTCATGTATGTAAGTACTCCGTAGCCCCATTGTAATTGGCCACTTCAGCAGCTCCTTGTTCAGTGCGACCATGTGTTACACGGCCAAGTTACC